CCTTGAGCTGGCCCTTATTGTTTAAGCTAACCTTCCTCACAAAGTTGTCATGAAAATAAAAATGAGGATGGGGGCAGCCATACACACTAACCTGAATTCACTACAGGAAAGGCAAGATAAACACAGCAAGTAAATAATTAACAACAATGGCCTGAATTCAGTTTTGTAAACCCAATGAATAAATGGGATTTTTGTTAGCATTGACCCACCTTTCAACAGTTCACTTAATGGGTCCAAGTCCAGTTGTGACTATCAACTGGATATAGGCCAATATCTTTAAAATAAAACATTGAAATAAATGCAAGAGCTATGTGCTCACAACCAACTCACAGATACTTCTGAATCCTGCTTTCCTTGTCTGAGTTAATAAGACATCTCCAAGAAGCAATAATCAGATGGACTATGAGCTAGTGAAGAAGGTTTTATGTCTACTATTATAGGGTTACAACCACATATGTAAAGAGCAAATAGAATATGTCGCTTTTCACTTGAACGACTCTAAAGCTGCTTACAAGCCATACAAACAAGGTGTCCTCCTGAAAGCTCCTGCCATGCAGGAAATTACAAATTAAAGTTCTAGGAACTTTCATGTCTACCTTAATACACAAATGCCTTGCCCTACATCACCCAGCTCTCGCTATGAAATCTAATTAACTGAATCAATGGAAGGCAAACATGAATTTTACCCTCTTTCCACAAAGTTCCACGGTGACAGAATTAATCACCCACTGGCATGAAGAGAAGAAAGATTAAGTCAGGCAAAGTGAGTAGAGGCTAAGGAGGAGATTTTAAGGACCAAATGAGATGATAAATTAAGTGCCTGACTTAAGTACATGCATACAGGTTTTCCCCAATGCTATCCCTCTGATGTGGTCCTGCACTTCCTCTCCTAAAGTTGACGCTGGTGTCACCCATACAATTACTTCATCATGACTGTGGTTCTATGACTAAAGACGCCAAGGAATTTCAAGACAGATCAAAAATACAACCTGCTGTACAGACAGAGATTAATTACAAAGACAGTTTTACTGAGATCACTCATTAACTCAAGCAGGATTTACATATAAGTTGAGAAGCCAATTTTTATGCTTCTCTCTGTTTCAGAAAAGTCCCAAGAACAATGCCAGCAGAGTGATAACATGAGCTCCCAATTCAGCAAAAACTGGATCAACAAGTTGTAAAAGATTCCCAAAACTCTTTGCCAACAACATACTCCCAGGAACAAATAGCTACACCCATGCAATGCAGTTATGAAATAGCTTCCACTACCAGAAGTCAAGGCAGCAGGGTGGATTTGATTTACATTTTTAATTTTTTTACAATTTAAGTCAATTTGATTTTTTAAAAAATCACTGAATTTTTTCTTACCCTGCTAGGCAGCAATTCTAGCTTTTTTGGGGGGGGATAAGGAGGATGATTTTTTGTGTGTGTTCACTAGTGAAAGTTGGACCACAAAGAAAGCTGACCACCAAAGAATTGATGCTTTTGAATTCTGGTGCTGGAGGAGACTCTTGAGAGTTCCCTGGACTGCAAGGAGAACAAACCTATCCATTCTAAAGGAAATCAACCCTGAGTGCGCAGTGGAAGCACAGATCATTAAGCTCAGGCGCCAATACTTTGGCCATCTCATGAGAGGAGAAGACTCCCTGGAAAAGACCCTGATATTAGGAAAGTGTGAAGGCAAGAGGAGAGGGGGACAATAGAGGATGAGGTGGTTGGACAGTGTCACCGAAGCTACCAAAATGAAGCTTCCAGAGTTAGACTGGGGTCCAGGAGCACCCCAGGCTGCGGACCCTGTCCCTTAGGGGGAGTGTAACCCCATTCAGGGCAGGGAAATGGCCCTCCAGCCTGTCCGGCCAAGCACCCACTAACAGCACTTCTTTCTTGCCTGGACTGAGTTTCAATTTATTAACCCTCATCCGGTCCAGACACAAGTTCAGCACAGAAACTGCCTCACCTGGACTAGTAGAAAATGAGAGGTAGAGCTGAGTATTGTTAGCATATTGCTGACTCCTCAGCCCAAACCTCCTGATGACCTCTCCCAGCGGTTTCATGTAGATGTTAAACAGCATGGGGGACAGTATCGAGCCCTGAGGAATCCCATGACATCAACGCCATGGGACAGGGCAACTGTCCCCCAGCACCATCCTCTGGACACGGTCAGCCAGGAAGGAACGGAACCACCATAAAGCAGTGCCCCCAACTCTCAACCCGGCCAGCCTATCCAAGAGGACACCATGGTCGACGGGGTCGAAAGTTGCTGGGAAGTCCAGGAGTATCAACAGGGTCACATTCCTCTTGTCTCTCTCCTGGCAAAGGTCATTGTACAGGGCGACCAAGGCAATCTCCGTACCAAAACCCGGCCTGAAACGCAACTGAAATAGATCCAGAAAATCCGTTTCATCCAGCAGCGCCTGGAGTTGTCCGGCCACAACCCGCTCCAACACTTTGCCCAAATAAGGGAGGTTCACCACTGGTTGGTAGTTAAGCACCAGCCTTTTTCAGGAGTGGCCAAATTCCCGCCTCTTTCAAGGTGGTAGGGACCACTCCCTCTCTCAAAGAGGTGTTCACGGTCTCCTGGACCCAAATGTGAACCCCCCTGGCAGATCTTCCAATTAGCCAAGATGGGCAAGGGTCAAGTGGAGTGGTGGTAGAATGGACAGATCCAAATACTATCAGTCCACATCCTCAGGTCTCAACAATTGAAACTCATCCATTAATATTTGACCTAAGCACAGCACACTGGACACTTCCTCCGATTTTGCAGGAAAGGTGGAGTCCAACCCACTGCGAATCTGAGCGATTTTTCCGTCAAAATGAATGGCAAACTCGGATTTCCAGGTTGAAGGAGATCCTGGACCACCCGAGACAGCTCTGCTGGACGACATTCTGAGGAAGCAATATGGCTGAAGAAATATTGCCATGAAATAGGTCCGAAAATGGGCTCTAAGTCGTGTCCAATCGGACTCCCAGCGGGACTTCCTCTACCTGTGCTCCAGCTGTCTCCCCTCTAGCTACATCGCCTGCAGTTCAGAAGTATACCAAGAAGCTGTCTGGGCTCTGTGTGCAGGGAGAGGGCACTTAGGTGCAATCGTGTCAACCGCTCAGGTCAGCTCCCTATTCCATAGGGTGACCCGAGCTTTGACAGGAGCACCAACCATATCAGACGGATAATCCCCTAGAGCATTCAGGAAACCATCTGGATCCATTAGTCTCTGAGGGCGGATCATCTTAATAGATCCCCCACCCTTGCAGAGGGAAGAAGAAGCTAATAGACTAAACTTGACCAGGAAGTGGTCTGACCATGACAATGGGGTCATAACCAGCCCCTCCACTTCCAAACCACCATCTTCCAGTCCCATTGAGAAAACCAGGTCCAAGGTATGGCCCTTCTCATGTGTCGGGCTGATGACACATTGAGAAGTCCTATAGTTGTCATGACAGCCGTGAAGTCCTGAGCCACCCCAGTCAAGGCAGCCTTAGCATGGATGTTGAGGTCCCCCAACACCAACAGCCTGGGAGTCATCAACACCAGGTCCGAGACTACCTCCGTCAGCTCAGGCAGGGAGACTGTTGGTGGGCCGCAGGGTGGGCGGTACACCAACAGAATCCCTAATCTGTCTCACAAGCCCAACACACAATACAGTCCCTCAAGACCTCCTCTCAAAGGGATAGGAAGCCTGGTCAAGGAGATAGAACTTCTACAGACTATAGCAATTTCCCCTCCCTGAGACATTGGTACTGGACCGAGTACCTAGGCGGACACAGCTGGGAGAGGGGGACACCACCCGCCTCTCCCACCCAGGTCTCAGTAATGCATGCCAGGTCAGCCCCCTCGTCCAGAATTACATCATGGATGAGGGCAGTCTTATTTTGTACTGACCTGGCATTCATCAACAGCACCGTGTGGCTCGAGGGGTTGCTGATATGGTCACCTGATACCATCTGGTTGGGGGTAGGACTAAAAGAGGGGATAGATGTAAAATATCTAAGCTCTCTTCTCCTACATGGGCATGTTCTACCCCCACTGCCATTCCCTCCCCTACCCAGCACCACCTCAATGGCTGCCCCCTCCAATGCTATCCCCCTTCCTGTTCCCTCAGATCCACTGTGGGTCTCTATGTAACCTGATGGCAATAAATAATAACAATTAAAAACAACAATACACCTTTCTAAAGCCCCTTCTCCCCTCCAAGCCAAGTGGCGGATGTTGAGGATGGGGTGGCGCAGCCTGAGGCAGCAAGGGCCCAGTCCTGCAAGGCCAAGGGAGTGCAGGCCAAACTCCCCCAGGAAGGCTGGCCACCGACAGCAGCCAGCCACACTATCTCTCACCCAGTGCCTGAGGGATGGCAGATGACAAAAAAGACTCCCAAGCAGGAATACTTGTTGACAACAATACGAGTTTTAATTCAAAATTCCTGAAGAGCACCAGGATGGAGAAGGCTTGAATTCTTTGCAGCAAACATTGTATATTCCCTTCCAGGTGTGTGATTTTCATATTTTTTGGACTACAAATACCACAATTCATCATTTTCCTAGGCTAGGGGGTCTATCCAAGCTCCATGCTCCAGTCCAAGTACTAGTTGGGATCCTTCTTTCTGAACAGGAAGCTAGGCCTAGCTCAGGCTTTTCCCTTAGAAAACCCACATTTAGATATCTGTAATCTGTTTTGTCTGTCACACCAAGCTCCTAGAATGGAGAATTGTGGAGTTTATAGTCCAAAATCTGAAAATCCCATCCCTATTCCCTTCCAAATCACTGGAAAAAGACACCACAGTAAACGAACATTTTAAAAGACTCTGGAAAAGCTGGGACTACAGCTTCATATAAAATGTCACCAACCAGTTATAGGCACTAGAAAAATAGCAACTCTGGAAAGAACCAAAAAGTTCCTGCAATCCTCCCTTAACTTTCCAGAAAGCCTCTTAAAATCAGATTTATCCCATGAGTATTCAAAAAGCAAAGGACCACAGTGACATTTCAACATGATTTGTACTCACCGGTAAACATTTTTGTAACAGCTTTGCTCTGCTTCCGAGCAGAGCACAAGAGCAGCAACCATGGAGGAAAAAATTCATAGTGGCTTGCCAGAAGCTCAGCGATGGTTCCAGATAAGCCCGAAGAGGTCTGGTCACTTTCTGAAATGTTACAACCTTCATCTACTGAATCTACGAGGAGGAAGAGACTTTGCTGGGGGGGCTTGGCTCCCAGAAGGGGGAGTAGAATGCACCTGTAAGAGAAGAAGGCAGAGGGGATATGTATAAGCACACTTATTCTTTCTCTGTTTGGAATTACAGTATATTTGATACATACACAAACCAAAGCTTCCATGTACATTGGCAAAGTAATGCTTCCTGTGTTGCCACTGACTCTCTAGATCAGTGGTTCCCGAACTTGGGTCCCCCGGATGTTCTTGGACTGTAAAACCCAGAAATCCTGGCCAGCACAGCAAGTGGCGAAGGCTTCTGGAATTGCAGTCTAAGAACATCTGGGAACCACAGTTTGAGAACCACTGCCCTAGATATTACAGCTGCCACAGTCCCTTACCACTAGTCATGCTTACCAAGCTTATGGGAGTTGCAGTCAAAAATATCTGGGGAGGCCAAATATTTCTTACTTCCACTGTGTACACTAAAATAGAGAATGGCAAGCAACTCTTTTCCTGCAATTGTTAGATGTTCTGGCTAACTTCCCATAACTGTAATGTTTGCTTTATCCCTTTAATATGAATAAAATTAGAGGTCCAAGTGGCAGGGATAACAGCATGCATATATACAGTATGTTTGCACTGTTCCCTAAACATTGCACCATCAATATGAACCACACACACACACACACACACACACACACACACATACACACACACACACACAAATGTATACAATGTTCAACAGAAGCATTATCAGTATGATGTGCAAGCAAAATTCCTCTTGCAGTTTTATTTATCTTCGGCAAGTCTCTGGAAACTTCCTGCACAAGATCTACCAGAAGGAACCAGAAAATCAGAGAACCTGATTGCTCCTTTTGGGTGCTCTCACTGATCTTCTTGACTGGGTGCACGAAAAACAAATGATGGATGTCTCCCATCATAAGATAATCCATCATGTTTTTTGTTTGTAGATACTGCAAACAGCATCAACTGCTAAATTTATTTCATGTCCAGTTTGTACACACCTTTAAGGAACAAGTCCAAGGCCGCAGTAAGTTGACACTTTTTCATTTCCCATGTGGAGGGGGCCTTGTCTGCTTAGTCCTGCCTGGGAGACAAGTAGCCGTCTCCATCTAAGGTGAAGGGAAGGGAAGGGAAGGGAAAGGGGTGGCTAGAAGGGGGGGGGAGAGAAAGCCAAGGAGGAGGAGGAGGAAGCAGGGCTCCTGCTGCCTTCTAAGGTGAGAGGATTGGTCATGTGAAGCCATAGGATGCCATGGAGCACATCAAATCTGATCTGAATGCCAACACTGAAGTACAGAGCTGCAGGAACTGGTAAAGAAGCTGGAGAAGCAGAACAAGCAGGTTCAAATTCACAGTGCTGTTGGGGGCACCAGGCAGCAGCCTGAAAAGGCTCCTTAGTAGGATTAGCAGCGGAGGTTCAGGTGTTTACATGTCACTGCTGCTCCTGACTCTGCCACTATCGTTGGTTGTAGCCCCCATCGCCCCTTTCTTGTTGTCTATGGATCTCTGGAACAGCCTGCCGCCTCAATTTTAGGACTGGACCAAGATGGCCTCTCCCAAGTGAGGAGAACAGAGGCAGCGGTGGCAGCTTGGCCACAGCAGAGGCTGCAGAAGCAAGGGGAGCTGGAGAGGACAGGATGGGATGGTGAGAAGTAGGGAGGGGTGGAGATAGTGTTATGCAACGTAATGGTGGTGAGGTCATGCGTTACTTGGCTATTATAAAAGGGGATTGTGACTTGAAAAATGTTGGGAAACACCACTCCAAATACTCCACTAATCAATATTTCAGGAAAAATGAATAAATTCTAATTGGTATAGAATAACACAAAACTTGTTACTCATTAAGTTTCCAAAAAGTGGCATTATCTCTCATTACCCTATAAGATGTTGTTCAGTTCTAGTTGTCATTAACTCTGGCTCTTGGCTGTGATGGCTGGAGCTGATGGAGAGTCAGCTCATCCACTTCTTTATTGGTACAGACTAATGACCATGGAGTTGGCATTGTAGTCAGGCCCAGAATTTTGGTCAAGACCCCTGTTCTGAGGACTGCTGCTGGATGCAGTGGAGTGATTGGTTGCTTAGACTGCTGGGATGGTGGTAGATTGTGTTCAGCTGCTCTGCTGTTTAGTTTGACAGCATAGGTTTTGTTTTACTTCCATAAAATTTTTACTTCACTGTTTTTAAAAATGTGTAATGCCGCCCAGAGTAGACCTTTGGTTTGGATGGGCAGGGTAGAAGTCAAATGAATGAATGAATGAATGAATGAATGAATGAATGAATGAATGAATGAATGAATGAATGAATGAATGAATGAATGAATGAATGAATGAATAGACAAGCATGTTATAGGGAGCATGGTTACTTGCAACATGGCCCTTCCAAGGTCTGGAATCTCTGGATGAAATGTCTCATGATGATAAACTTGGAAAAGCCCTTCTGAATATAGCAATAACCATCAGATAAAGATGATTAATTGAAACATATTAGATCTGAAAATATACAACAAATAAAAACTCAGAGGCTGAGCAGGCATGTATGATTAGAGTTTAAGGATTGAATCCTAAACATGCTTTGATATACCATTAAATAAATCCAACTGAACTCCACTGTTTTCACTGCTTATTTAACCAATACAAAATTTCTTCATTATCTAAACTTTCAGTTCATCTAAATTCACTCTCTTAGTACATAATTAAAACCAAGAACAGGGAATAAAAAAAAAATTATAATATAAATTTCTAATTTCTCAACATATCTGTTGGTCTGACTGAAAATGTAATACTACATTCTTAACCAAAGGGAAGTCATCAACATAACTTGCATTTGTATCATACCAAACAAGTTATTCACTAACCACTTTCAGTAATGCAACCCCATCAATGGACCACATGAGTGAAGGATCCAATCCAATGTTACCGTGTCATTTTCTATTAGTAACTGTTTACTGTTTCTTGCACAAGGACTTCCTCTTCAAGAATCCATATTTTTCTAGCTACCCACTTTCTCTCAGGATCACAAAAGTAACCATTTTTTTCCAAGTCCAAAATGGGGGACCAGTTTGGAAAGGTGCTGCCCTTCACATATTATTGGATTACAACATCCATGAACCCTCCTCCATGGTGATGCTGGCAAAAAGCTGTAATTCAATGGCAGTTATTTCAGGGAGTTTGCAATTTTAAATGTTGTATTCTTTTTGGGTAGCTCAGTGGTTTAAGCATCTGACTGTGGAGTCAGAGGTTGGGAATCTGATTCCCCACTGTGCCTCCTTGACAGGGGTTGGACTTGATGATCCATAGGATTCCTTACAACTCTGCAGCTCTAAGATTAATACGACTAATCTGTCAACAAAGTTGCACAAAAGAGAACTAGAATTCATGGCTGGCAAAGTGTTATCACCTTGCTTCTTCTGCCCTTGCTTCTTCTGACTGAGATTTTAAAAAAACAAATTAAGTTTCCATTAAAAAAGCATGTTGTTATAAAAGCATTCAGCCATCATCAACTCTCCAAGGTTAAAGTGTTATGCATTACAGCAAGAGAAATCACACAGTAAAGCAAATGCTTTAAAGGCTTTACTTCAGTACATCCAGCAAAATGTTTTCTAATTCCCAAATGCACTGCGACCTCAGGCATATTCGGAAGGTTCTTCAGTAGGGTAAGTGTTCTTGCAATGTAATAGTCTAGGCTAGAAAATAATCCTATTATTTGCAAAAAAACAAAAAACTCAAAAGGAAAAAAAGTCACCCTTCTTGCAAAATAAAATGACCTGTAGCTCTCCATCTTGTCCTTATCATCTAAATGCTTCATATCTCCAAAACAGTAACAGTTCTCTTGACAGAATAGCTATTAGGAAACAGCCATGATCCCCACACAGAACAACCTTATATACCATCAAAACAAATTACATGTGCAAGTAGGGAAAGGATCTGTAGAGAGAAAATGGACTGAAGGCTTAGTGTACCTAATATCATTATGTCCACAAAACACCATCCAAAATACAGATCATGTGCTGAAAATCTACAGTACTTGCAACAGGTACTCTTTGAATACTGACTTCTACGGTGCCAGCTGGAACCTACCATGGTTGCTAGAGTGGAAGACACAGCAGTCCATAGCGGATAGAGCCAGGATGATAGGAACAGCCAAGGATAAATTGAGCACTGAACTGTATCTGCTATGCTAACCCATCCTAACCAAATCCAGTTTTTTTGGCAGCAACTAACACAACCACAGCAGGGATAATTGTGACAACAAAGGACATAAAGTTCCTTGGAACAGTTAGCTCACTTGGTTCTGTGATAACACCTCTCCTCGAAAAGGTGTGTGATCACACTACCTTCTTTCACAACTGCCCTAACCTTCCATTTATACACAAGACTCTTGAACTGGCCCTTGAGATTTTTGCCCTGGAAAAAGCAAAGTATTAATGCACAGTAAAATTCAGTGCCCTTCAAGGTTGCAATTATATACACATTTCTGAAGAATAAGAACCATCGTACCAAAAAAGAAGAAAAAGACAGAAAGAGAAAAAGCATGAAATTTCTGTTCTGATGGATATGTATAAAATCACAATACGACAATATAACATTTAGTAAGATAAGCATAATTTAATAATTCCTTGCGCAAATCTCCCCAATATCCCAACAAAACCAAAGAGATGCTCAGTGTCCATAACTGTTGGAAAGGGAAAATATGGATAATGGAAAAGACACAAGCGATGCTGTGTTATCTTGGATAAATGTCTATTTGGATTGCTGGAACTTTGTACAACAGCAATTTGTCCTCCCTGCAATAGGCTGTCAATTATTAACAATGGAAATGATGGAAAGAAACCAAATACAAGCCGGGACAAAGGCAATCTGCAAACAACGAAGTTGCTTGACAACACCTTAACATGACCAGTCCCTGTCATTCTCTATTTAGAACAATGAGAAACATTCTAGTTGCTGCAATCAGTTCCTGTTGTTGTTCCCCAGCTTTCTTCAAAAGCAGCCCCATGCAGAGCATGTTACAGTAATTTAACCCTGCCAAGATCAAGGCTTATGGCACTATGGTTACGCCAA